TTTTATATCTTATGCAAAGTGTCCTGTAATCTTTATTTAGTCTCCGGTTTTGCTGTCGTTATAAGAACTATTTTAACATTTCTATTTTTCAAATATTTCGAATTACAGAAGTATCTCAAATTTTACTAATTTAAATTCCGTGCTGTGTACATTTTTCTTAAAAAAAAAAAAAAGAAAGAAAAGAACGAACGATAATCAGTCTCTAAAAGAAAGCACGACTCTATTTCAATAGCTTCCATTTATTCCTTCAATCATAATTACCTCCGCTCTATTCATATTTTACATAACAAAACCGGTGCGTATATTTTTTTTTCCCCCCGTGGAACAACCGTTATTCAATGGGATGCTCTCTCGACGAGTATTGAAAAGACTTTCTCGCCCACCAAATATCACGTAATTCGACCAATCCAACGGTTGAACCACTCAAACACTTTTCATCCCCTCATCCCCCCCACCAAAAAAAGGGAAAAAAGAAATTTCAAAACGCTGCCCACGTTCAAGATACATGAAATACATTTCCATTGGGTCGCATTATAATTATACTACAAGATGACCTAGAAAGAAAAAAAAACGAATTTTTTGGAGCAGCATTCGTGCAGGGCTGGTTCTCACAGAAAACACGAATTTCATTACTCACCTACTATATACACCACCGTCCCTTTGAATTCATTAACGAATCATTGTCAATATATATATATATACATATATATATTTTCGATTGCAAATGATACCGCGCGCAAGTCAGATGGCATTTTTATTGTCACTCTGCATTTATTATTCTATTCCTTCGTATTGTCGTATTTCTTATTCGCACATTTACGTAGAGCCCGAATGCAAACTCTGCATATCGCGCATTTTTCAAGCGTGTACGTGTCCGTATGTGCGTGCGTGTGTCGGTGTGCTGTGTACGTATTCTGCAGCATCTAGTGCTTCAGCTTATTGTCCGGAGAAAAAGCGAATGAACGTACAGAAAAAAAAAAAGAGACGAGTCATTTGTGTATGTACATGCATCGCTAGATGAACGATTATTGCACTGATTTTTATACGATTGACAATGACAATTTTAATAACGAGATCGTATAATTGTCGTTTCTAGTGTCGTCGAACCGTTTTGATCTGATCCGCATACGGATTTACGTGTACAGATAGAATGATAGCTTTTTAACCCTTTCGCTGCTGTTGCCCGCCTACAGGCGCTTCGAAGGTGTGCTCACGCTGTGGCCTTGGCTCCTATAGGCGGTTTGAATATTTGCTCGCGCTGTGACCTTGGCACCTATAGGCGGTTTCGATATTTCCTCGCACTACGCCCTTGGCGCGAATTTATTCCTTAATTTCTGTCCTTCACGTACATGCACCTTCGTTTTTATGGCGATAAATTTGGAAATTTGAATTTCAGAATTTTTCGAAATATTTTTCGAACGCCAAAATGAGAGATTTTGCAGCCGGGATTGAACATCTACCGTCTTCCATGCGCGTCGCGTACTAAAATCTGCCGCAGCGAAAGGGTTAAGTCAATCGATCATTATTTTATGATCATTGATCGATTTTTCACGCCAGCGATTCAATACTTTTTTCCCAATAGGTTGATATTAATAATTGCGATTGCTTATGTCGCGTGATACTTTTGAACGCTTTACGAACAGAGATTTGTTTTATTGGCGATAACAGAGAGTGTACGAAAATAGAAATTTTTCGAAGTTTACCTTTGGGCAATTTGTTTCAAGATACTTTCTGGACACAATCTGTAATAAAGTGTCACTGATCAGCTCTTTTTATTCGAAAAATATTGCAAAAGTGAGAAACATGATTTTGAATTGATTGGAAGTAATTGTGATAGTCGTTGTTATTGTGTTTTAATATAATTTCAATTGTTAACAGAAATTTTGTTTTTACAAATTATTGAGAATGCAGAGAATGTAACGATTTTATGTTTGCTTTGTTTTCCCCTCGTCGAACGTGAAAGCAATTTTCATTAAGGAAATTCAGTAAAATGTTAATCTAACACTAACGAAAAGAATGTGAAATTTTCCAGGTTCTTCGGACTGAGGTATTTTTGTTTTTGATTGAACACTAAGTTACCCATTTTTTTAAACTAATTCTTTCTTTATCTTTCGTAATAGAAAAAAAACACACATTAAGATCAAACTTTTGTAAGAATCTTATTACATGCCTTTTTTCGTAATTAATTTTAATAAAATATTTTCAGACTGCAATTACAACATTCTTTTATTTTTATCGACAGATTTTACCACCGAAATTAGGAAAATTGCTTAAATAGCCATTTAAAAATTATATTTCACAATTACTCGAAGGTGAACTTTTTATTGCACGTAAACGAAGATTTGTAACCCTTTCAAGGGAACAATGAAGCAAATTTATCCTCTTTCGTAAAGTGTTTTTTCGATGAATTCACGGTGTGACAGATTCGTGCTACGAATCGATCGCTGGTTGCAATTACAGCTGAATAGAAAAGTTAATTGTAAACGCCTGTTTCGCTTACTCTGCTGTAACAGTAATCGTTAAATGCTACTAAACCGAAACAGAAAAAAAGAACCAACTCTTTATGAATGACATTCTTACCAGACAATTGTTTCTTTGGAACGAAGATACATGCTGTTTGCAAGAACTGTATTTGCCAGCGTGCTTACATTTATCGCATTCTCGACGCTTCTTTTTCGCATCGACTCGATTCCATTTCATTTGCAATAGCCTAGCATAGTTGACGTAAGTATCATCGGCACAGCGATCGATACTATCGTAGAACGAACGTTTCACCAGCCGCGTTTTACGATAACAAGATAATTACCATTCGATGTGATTCTCTATTAACCTAAATGGTTTCGGTGATCTGTGTGCGAAAATTGTGAAGTGCAGAAAACCCCTGAAACTTTGCAGTATACTTGCTGAAAGAGGTATAGCGAGGTCGTGAAATTGGGCGACAGAACCGTGAGGTTCGATCGCCGAAACATCAGTTTGAATGTGATACGGAGCTCGAGCCTCGTTCACGGTCGTACGAAGTCAATTCGGTGACTGAATTCATCCCTTAACTTTGTCACCTGAAATATTTCCGCTGTAATTGAAATTTCGTAAATATGTTTCCTACAAAAGTTGCATAGTTTTGTGAATAGTCAACGCCAGTGTAGAGTCAACTCTGTTTTTTTTTTTTAATGGAATGCTATACTTTATTTACTCGTATATGATAGCCACTTTGGTGACAAATTAAGAATCATCCAACCGATACACGTCGATTTTGATCAAATTTTGCAGACAGCTAGAGAATCCGAAAGTATTGGGTACTTATTTTTTTAGCTGCTAATATTTATGCTTGAAGGGTGAAATTACCCTGTAAACTTGTGAGCTGGAAAACTGTGAATCAGGATATCTCGAAAACGAATTAAAACATAGAGAAAAATTTAAAATACGTATGTTATCTGGTTTTTCGCGAAATTTGAGCTGCCATAACTGAAAATATCATATTTTTGTAAATATTTTCTATGGGACGTGATACATTTTTTGACAAAAATTCGCCAGTTGAAACTACAAAATGGATCTCACGATTCCTTTACCTTCCCAATTTTCGAGAATTGCTGTAAAGTGAGAGAAAGTCGACACTTGCTCAGCTCTTCGAAAGTTGAAAGTCTTCAAAATGGTGATTACATACAAATAAATAGAATACAGCATTTCATTAGAAGAGAAAGCAAAGTTGATCTTCTTGTCACGTTAACCCTTTGCAACGGAATAAAACTATTGCCAGTTTAGAAGCATTTTTACGAGATTGTTAATCACCGTGAAAATATTTCAGGCGACAAAGTTAGGTGGTACATCCTGCATTTAAAAATGTTGCTAAAAACAGAAAAAAAGAGGTACTTGTGACTTGAAATTTAGGGTGCTTCCATGAAACGCGTATGGCTCTGCATGCGGCTAGATCAATCGATGTTTTCGCTCCAACATCGCGATTTACAACCTCACAATTATCTCTTCCGCCAACTATACCATCACGAAGCCAATCTTTTTGCACCGTTGACATTCTTATTCTTCTTCTTTTTTTTTTTTCTTCTGTTCTGCCCCCCTCTCGTGTCACAGTACATTTTGTATAGTAACAAGAATTCTCGATGTCATTTCACCGATTTCATTCTAGGATCACTGATAACAGCAACCAATCGAAACGTCTTCGTAGAATGCACGGCTGAAAGAGAAAATTAATAACCACGATCTTTCTGCACCGACAGATATTCGTTCGAGCACAATTCGACTATGATCCGCTAGAAGACGGGCTGATACCGTGTGCGCAAGCTGGAATCGCGTTCAAAACCGGTGACATCCTGCAGATCATCAGTAAGGATGATCATTATTGGTGGCAGGCGCAGAAGGACAACGCGGCCGGTTCCGCGGGCTTGATACCTTCGCCTGAACTTCAAGAACGACGTATCGCTTACATGGCTATGGAAAAGAACAAACAGGAACAAGGTAAAAATTACGTGCACTGCTGTGAACGAACGTTTTCTCTTCCTCCGGTTGTTCTTTTAAGGGAATAATACGAAGATAGTTTGATTCTTGATAAGAGAAAAAAATTAAATGAAATGGATGTTTAAAAAAAAAAAATGCTAACCCTCAGCAGCTACTAAGTTTGATTGTTGATGAAAAAAATTTCATGAAATGACGAAGTTTGAGAAGAGAAGCTACTATAAATTTCGTATTACCACTTGCTGTAAGGGGTTTTTTACGCGATTATAAATTAGATTGGTGCAAATAAAGTGTTAAATGTCGAGTATTCAATTTTATCGGATCAGAAATTTTTATATACAATAGTCAAGAAGAATTTTTTTATTCAAAGACTAATGATTTTCGTATATTTGGAACAATAAAACTAGTTAATTATAGGGAAAAGTGTGTAGAATCGTGTGGGAAATGCATCATTTTTTGAAGAAACATTTAAAAAAAAAACGACCTTTCATTATTATTGTTTCACAAGTAATATTCTATAGTTAATTCTTTGTCATTTATTCTTCTTTTTTTTTTTAACGGAGGAAATATTCTCAAATTTCTTTCATTTTATAACTGAATACCTGTTTGGAAAATATTATTATTTAATACTTTAATTTCTTAGAGTTGTTCAAAATTAAAGTACCACTCATAACATTCACAGTGTTTAGCAGTTGGAACCATAAGTATAAGCTTAATATTACAATAATAGTTATTAACGTATTCCTAAGTCCATACTTAATAACTCTAATAATTTATGGATACTCGATAGTTGTGAGGGAATATAAACGCTAAATATATTGAATTGCAAGTTTAAAATCCCTATAATACTATTTGTATTTTATCATCTACAAGTAGCTGCTTAGGGTTTGAAACATAATTGTGTATTCTCAATGAAAATAATTTTATACTTTTAGTCTCGTATGATAACATGAAAGAAAATTAAATTTACGCACCTTAAAGTCATACGTAAGTTTATAGTAACATGTGATATCACAATCTTGTTACACAGTATCAAAATCTTGAAGTAGTATAAACCTCTACTTGACAAGATTGTATTACGAATTTTAAAGACAACTGAATACGAGATTTAAAACTCAATTTGCTAAATCTTCTTATAGATTTTACTTAACAATCATAATTGTAATTTGCAATCGACTCTCTTATTCAAAGTAGCGACGTGAATTTTTAACGCGAACAAAAATTTCCTTTGATTCGTATAAAACGAGTATTTCTCCTAAGATAACTTATCTTTACAGTTACCATCAAGAGGTAACATTGAAATTGACTCCCAATCGATCCCGTTGTCCAAAATAATGCTATAAATATTTTCCTTTTGGTTTCTATAAAACTTTTTCACGAATATCTCACAAAATACCGATTTTCTTAACGATTTTCCTCCGCTGTTGCATCTTGATACTGAGAAATTGAACCGTATCAGGAAGATAGCGGCGAAAGGAAACTTTCGTTAATGCGATTGCAGCAAAAAAAAGAAAAACATTTTCCTTCTCTGTAGCATAGGATCAATCGGATTCAGGGTAATTATAGGTTCCAGCAGATCGCATTCTGTCTGATATTCAGAACGAAAAAAAAAAACAAAAAAAAAAGAAATTTCCACCGCGTTTGACCATCGCCTTACCGATCCATTATCAACCCTGTCACGTTTGATTCTCCGATTAATCTCCACTACTCTCGTTACTGCCATGAAACGAATGTGCTGGTAAATATGATGTCATGTATGTGTTGTTAGATGTGTGCAGGTTTTCAATGGAGCATGTAGTATCGTTCGATGTCAGTTCATGTCTATCGTGTGATACCGGTCCAAGAGAAACCTACGAAGTTCATTATGTGTTTCTTTTTTTAACTCCCTTTCTATCCAACGAGGAATGAGTGATCATGGTAATTGAATCTTTCAATGGTCGATCGTGTGTGATCGCGGATAATAGAATTGCGATTTGAAAGTGGACGAAACGCGCGATTCGTCGCTGTTACCTTGAAGAAGAAAAAGAAGAAACTGTTCGTAGAATCGAAAATTGATTAGAAATTTTAGATTAGTTTTCTATTTCTAATCATTTCTTCGAAACTGGAAGATAAATATTTGAACTTTTCTCGTGTCAATTATACTTACCGTGGTTTATATTCAGCGATCGATTATAAGGTCGCAAAGTTTTTAGGCGAGTAGCAAAGGAAGGTCGATAACCTGCAAAATTCAGGAAAATCTTCGAAACTTCGCGGAAGCGTGGTTCAAGTGACGCTAATAACGAAACTATTTTTTGTTTCGGCAGTGAAACGGTTCTGTGGGGTGAAAATACTCCGTCAAAGAAATTCTGAGGTTTCATATATCGCGAATATTTAGGAAACCGTGCAAGATATGGAAAAAATGCTAAATTTAAAGTTGTGTGGTTTTTAATGTCCTACATTATGGTGTTAAAGAATTTTTCAAAATTTATCTCCACCTCTCTTTTTTTGAAAACTTTTTACCGCCCTAATGTAGGATATTAAAAACCACACAGCTTTGAATTTAGCATTTTTTCCATGTTTCTCACGGTTTTGTGAATATTCGCGATAATATGAACCTCACAATTGTTTCGAGGGAGTGTTTTCAGGCTTTAATAAAAATTTTTGCCTTCAGATATCATATAATGATAAATTATAAATGATAATAAACCATTTTTCTATGCGTTAATATTACACTGAAAGTTACGATTTTATAACTAATATTACGCTGAAATATTGAAATAAAGGGAAATTACATGGTACTGCCCAAGAGTGCCCAAATGAGTGCGGACTAACTGGACTATTTGGACCGCAAAGGGTTAAAACCCTTTTATTGCCACTAACGTCACTTGAACTACACACCTGCAAAGTTTCAAATTTTTTCTTTAAGCTCCAGGTTGCCTAACTTCCCTTGTAAAAAATCGATTACGTTATTCTCTTCCTGAAATGTAACAATTTGCACTAAGCATTATCATACGTGATGCGAAGAGAATATCCGTGAGTACCAAATAAATTAATTTTGAAAGATCACAAAGTGGTGTTAACAGAGAGAGATCACGAGCAGAAATCGGATAAGAACGATGAAAAAATTCGGTGATAGCAAAGGAGGACGATAGATCGAAAGAAAAAAGAAAGTGATACAGCTGTTGTTGTGTGTTGTGCGGGGCTAGATGCTGAAGCAGAAAGAGGATGTTCTTCTCACACCGAAGGCTGCGACGGTTCGACAGGTATGACTCTGCCTTTAGGTAGACAACGCATAGAGTCACGTAGAACCGTGTAATCCGCATGAAGTATAAAATGTATTCGTACCGTGCTTTAAACACACGCATTAGTTTGACGAGAGTAAAGAGGAACACTTATTTTCGAGGTGGTTATTTCGAGAACGGTTTGGTGAATACCTTCTTTCATTCTCTTGCAAACGATCGATCAGGTAAATTAGAGATCTCTACGTTTACGGTGATTCTGTGAAAAATGTTCTAATACGTGCGCGATGAACTTTCGTGTGCATAGAATTATTCGGTGCATCTCTTCGTCATGAGTAATTGAACATTTGAAAAGTAACATTTTCCTTGTGTTTAACGTGCAGCTAAAGATTCGAGATTTTCCTGGCTGTTAATATGATCTCTGACAGTGATTGAAGTAAATTGAATTAGATGTGTATCAATGTTGAATTTTATTAGAAGAAACATTGATAAATAACTACTCTGAGGCGTCTGAAAATAGGTAAAGTTTGGGAAATTTTTTCGCAGGTAATTGATAAATGGAAATCTTCCATTTTTTCGGAGGATATCGGTGTAACTTCTGGAATTTTTGAAGAGTAAAGATGTTACCAAGTGGCGGATTTATTGCGAATCTTCTGCTCAGTAAGGATTGCAACGTCTGAAATAAAAAATTCCTCTTGATTCGTAAATAGAAATATATTACGTATAATGTATTACCCACATTGTAGACAATACGTTTGTATTTAGAAATCAGAAGGAACTTTCATTTCAGACGTTTCAATCCTTGCCGGCGATGGCGGACAGCAATCGATATTCTAGCAGAAGAGGTTTCGCAATAACTCCTCCATTTTGTAACATTTTTAATTTTTAAAAATTGGAGAGAACAGCTGAAAGTTACATTTATATCCTCCGGAAGAATTGAAACTTTTCATTTTGTAGTTATCTGTAAAAAAATTCCGAAACTTTACCTACTTTTAGGCGCCTCAGGATTAATGAACGTATAGTCTATGGAAGAAATGTAGCGATGTCGTAAAATCTGAGGAGATAAGGACCCGAAACCTCAGTTAGGGCTGCATGAAGTATGCCTTAGCTTTGATACAATCCTAATAAAAAAAAAACGAAAAATGCCGTATTCGATCCTGATTATTGTTGCATTTAATTTACGACCTCGCTATATTCCTTCCACCAACTATACCAACTAAAACAATTGCAAAGTAACAGATCGTATTATATGATAAAAAAGTACTATAATCTATTTGTAAATGTTTCTCATCCAACACCTGTGTATCTTCACTGACTTCTCTACAGACATTTAAAAATAGTTATTGAGAAATAGGTAATTGACACAACACACACTGCGCAACATTTTCAACATTAGAAGGCGATTAACATTACCAGTTCACGTTCCTAGATTGAATTATATTATGTAGGGTAACAAAGAAACCTTCTTTTTCACGAAGTTTTGACAAAATGGTAGTTTTCTTTTTTTTTTTTTTCTTCTTTTCTTAGCGTTATACTGTGAACAGAGCGAGTTACTCTACGTAATACAGAACATGCTTTCACGCGGCGTGCTTCGATGCATGCTTTCGCTAAACATTTCACGCACTTACGCTTATTTCGCACGATACCTCTCGCAAGCACATCGTTGCAGCAGCATTATGTTGAGATTTTGAACGTGAAATTATTGTCATAAATGTTGACTTGAACTTTACCTCCAGTAGATAAATTTTCAACAATGGTAAAATAGTTTCTTTTGTTTTTTTTGTAATTTGTTTAACCAAGAATGTATTTGTCTCGTAAGAAGATTCACGAAGGGGAAAAAAGTAATTACACCACTCACACGTTCTTTTCAGGTCATGTATCGAACTATTCATCAATAGAATTTTCATATCATTGCAGTGAAAAGTAGTATCATCGAAACCTTGACAAATCATTTTACCACTTGTCGGTAACTTCCCAACGTCAAAATTAGTTGACATAATTTTCGAAGAAAAACTTTGCATAATTACTCCCACCTTTCAAGTTCATATTAGAGATAATTAATTAACAGCCAATTCAGCAACACGTTTCGATCATTTGTATAATATGTTTTGAATTGTCCATATAAAAAATCGTGTTATCATACGAACTCACCATCGTCATGCTTCGATTACGACACCAACTTTCATCATTTCACACGTACATACTCACATAAATTATCCAACGAACTATATGTCCTCATCTTTTTCATCTTGTGACCTGCTGGAACACCCATCTCAGTGGGAATCCCACGTCCTCCTTTATGGTTATGGCTTCTTTGTAAACTGGCTGATTGAATGAAATCTCTTTACCATGAGAGAATACGCTTACACAGTGATTGACATTTACCGAAGTAGTTCTTCACTTCTCTTGCGTGTAAAATGCTAATTGTCCGGGTATTCGAGGAGGATGCTAATTAACAATATAGATCGCTGAGTGTTTCGATTACAGCCTCCACCACACGTTGCACTTTGTGCGAATTCAAAGAACGTACGTTATTATGAATGGCATATTATAACAGTTGAATATGAGTTACTTATTTTTATTATTTTCCTCTCGAAGCATTTACTAAATTATTTCTATCGTTGATCATGTATTTTTGGTTACCCGTTAGGACTGCTATTTTCATCGTATGCAGGTTGTTTTTTAATGTAAAATATCATTTACGAGGAAACATTCGAAACTTTAATGTAACAAAGCGTAAGAAAGTGTATAGAGTTGGCCACGTAAATTGGACCATCTAATTGTCTTCTCTGAGCTATATAGTGGTACGAAAAAATGTTTATACGTAATTTAAATAATTTCAAACGGTGAGTAAAATCAGAGAACAATTTTTTTTACTAATGCCATTTTTTTCTGTTTTGCTTAAGGTCACCTAAGTTCTTTTATATGAGTGTATATATTTCCCTACTGTTTGTTGCAGCAGACATTGATGTGCATTTAAACGTGCATAATAATAGGACCTTTAAATGACCAAATGTGAAACTTCCTTTCATCTTTTGCCATTTCTTCCATCAACAAAATTTTTCTTCCATCTTATTCATCATTTGAAACTGTTTAAATTAAGTGTACAAATTTTCTCGTACCACCATAGGTAGAGATGGTAATTAAGTGGTCTATTTTGCGTTAGCCCACCCTGTATAATTGCTTCTACGGAGTAATTAGTTGCTTATATTCACGACATTCGGAGAACTTAAAGTATAAATGCTAGTTTCAATGTAGAATTAAATGTATTATGCCTAAAGTGGCCAGACGTACTGATTTAAATTTTCTACTGATTTTAAGGTTAGGTTAGGTATTTAGAAAATAGGTTAGGTTGATTTTAAGAAAAACAACTCTGAATGTGCAAAAAAAGAATATAATCGAAGTAATCGAATATCTTTTATGTATTCCTGGTGCAAATGTACCAGTTGATAGTGTGTTTTCAATAGTAAGTAAAATTTAGGCAATGATAAAAGTCAATTAATCAAACTGCAGTCAGTTGTCAATTTTACGAAGGAATTTTAAATAATGAAGGCTATTTCTTCTTCAAATAAATACGTGTAACCATTGTTTAAATATTATGTACTTAAGCATTAAGTAATCATCATTTTTAATAATAAAAATGTAGAGAGTTTGATTTGTTTATTTTCTCTAATTTGTTAAATACAATTATTCGCTTCAAATGCAATTTCATTTCATTACAGTTAAGAAATATATCTGTTTACTTTTCTTTAATAAAAATCTACCGAATTTGCTTTCAAAAAATATACTCAGTTTAATTATACCGTACATCTGAACAGTTTCGTTCGGTATTCAGAAAAGTCCGATATTTGTACAAAACTAAAAACAAAATCCAGTATCTTCATTACCGATACGTACTCTTTTCTCGATATTTGAAAATGTACATTTAATACAAATTCTTCTGTTCTACGTGGGTCGAGTAATTTTATAAATATCAAGCTGATATGGAAAATGTTGGAAGTATTAAATAACTAAAATGGAAAATATCAGTTACTCGCATCGTAATCACAGGTATTTACAGTACGATCAATACGCACTAATGAGACCCAAATAATATCATTAAAATCTGTTAAATTAAATTCGCCAACGATCGTTACATAAATATTTCTCGACATATTTCGACAATTTATAAGGGGTATGGTAAACGCGTTGTGCAAGTTATTTTAAGCACTTTATTGAAATTTTCATACACATATATCTTTTTGAAACATAGAAGAAACTGGAAGATTTGGAATAGGTGAAATTTTTAATAGTAGAAAATTTGAATAATTGAAATCTTTTATGTTACAAAACAGCCTGCATATACAGTTCTCTTTAGAGTTGAGTATTATTTATTTATTTAAACGTGGTCTGACTAGTCTAACTTGTTTCACTCGTTAAATCTGGTAAATAAATTACATTTTACTGAAAGAACATATCATCGATGTTTTTTCTCGTTAAAAATAAATGCATAAGAATAGAAATTTATATTTTATTAATTTTTTAATTTACGTTAGGCAACTATTGTGGTACTTGAAAAATTTGCCCATTTTCTATTTATCATACGACAAACTCTACAGAGAATTGACTTAACATGATGGAATTTAGATTATTATTTTACAGGCAACGCAATCTCGAGCGATCCTATGTACTTATAGTTACTTCGCTCGTTAAACTAAATACAATTTTTACGTTTACAGTGAATTGCTCAATATTTGGCCGGAAAAAGAAGCAGTACAAGGATAAGTATCTCGCGAAACACAACGCAGTCTTTGACCAGCTGGATCTGGTCACCTACGAGGAGGTCGTTAAGCTTCCTTGTAAGTATAATTTGACGACTTACCTTTACCTTGTTATTTCATTAAATAAACGCTTTAAATTTAACTTAAGTTATCACAGGTATTTTTCATGGATAAATAGCAGTGAAATTATGTGACACAAGAGAAATAATAAAATAGTTCTAATCTTTTGATTCTTTTGTTTGTTCAACTGTATATATTACTTTTAGATAAACTAAATCCTCTTCCATTCGTTATTATTATTTTTTTTTTTTAGTATAAATTTGCGTAAATAAAAATGATAGGTGTTTTATCATTGAGAGATTAATATTAGGTTATCCTATAAGTTTGTGTCGAACTGTATAATTCAGATGAATATTTCCAACGAACCTTTGAATTTGATTTAAAGAAAAAAACGTGAGCGCCTTCTCATATCATAACTTTTTCCTATTTTTTCTTATAAGATCACTATGTCGTCGCTGTAGAATTTCCTTGGATTTTTATTAAAATATTTTGCGCTTTCAGCGCGAACTTATGGGATGACCTAATGCAACACTCTTATCGAATGTCTAATGCTAATATAATCGCGATGTTTATTTCCAACAGATCCAGCATTCCAACGGAAAACGTTAGTGTTACTGGGGGCGCATGGTGTTGGTCGTCGTCAGATAAAAAATACAATTATTGCGAAGCATCCTAATAAATACGCCTATCCTATTCCACGTAAGAATAATTGAAATGAAAATTTTTCGAAATATTCTAGCGTACTGTTGCATTTACACTTTATAGTGATAAAACTCGATTGCCTTAAATTTGCAAACTGTTTACAATTCCTAACATAACAGAAAGTGTGAAAAGATGAAATAAATTTAAATTTCTTTGTCTTCCAGATACAACGAGGCCTCCGCGAAACGACGAAGAAAACGGTCGTAATTATTATTTCGTATCGCACGATGAAATGATGGCCGACATCGCTGCCAATGAGTACCTCGAATATGGTAAATAAAAACGTTCATATTACAAAAAAAAAAATGGTGTTAATCGTTACACAATATTAGAAACTTTGCTAATGTAAATTATTGCACAGGTACGCATGAAAACGCCATGTACGGAACGAAACTGGAAACTATTCGGAAAATTCACGAAGAAGGTAAAGTGGCGATATTGGACGTTGAGCCTCAAGCGTTGAAAGTGTTACGCACGGCAGAGTTCGCGCCTTATGTTGTTTTCATCGCTGCCCCAGTATTTCAAAATATTGCCGACGTAAGTAGGGGAACATCGATAATTAATATCTTCCACGGGGGAACAGAGTTAACTACCGGCCTCGGGATAATTAATTGAACGATTAATTGGTTGTTGACGAGATTACGAAACTTTGACGCTCGGAGTTAATTGAATTTAGGGAAATAAGTATGTTGCTAGAGGCTGTGGAAATTTCACGATGAAACAGGATAAATATTGTTAGACACAGTAATCTGAACAATTTAGATTATGGAAGGAATAAACTGAAGGAAGTTTCTCTAGAGAAAAGTATGTTCGAAAATTCCTGCAGAAAATTGAAAACATTTGGTTATTTTATAAGTATTATTAACAATGTGATTCTTAAATTTATATTCTGATCTATATTTTACAACAAAATTTGATCGAATAGAAAAAGTATTTTATATTTACGATACTATGAACCTCATAGGACCTTATGGACCTTAGGACCGTTTCATTATCGAAACAAAAAATAGTTTCGTTATTAGCGTCACTTGAACTGCAAAGTTAGAAATTTTTTTTAATCTTCGGGTTGCCGAACTTTAGAAAAACTTTTATAAATATAGTCTCGTTAAGGTTTGGAACAGATAACGTATTCCATATAGATCCTCGATTAAGTTTCTTCAATTTACAAATTGTCTAAGCACATTATTGCAATAAATGTTTCAGTGTGACGGAAGCTTAGAAAGACTGGCGAAAGAGTCGGATTCGCTGAAACAAGCGTACGGGCACTTCTTCGACCTGACCATCGTGAACAACGAGATCGATGAAACGATCGCACAATTAGAGGCAGCCATCGAACGGGTTCATACGACACCGCAATGGGTGCCTGTGTCCTGGGTCTACTGACAGCGAATCTCGCCAGTTCGTCAAATAACCAACTGCAATGGCTCGTCGAATGTGAAACAGTGATCATCGAATCGCGATCCACCGAACGACCGATCCGTTTACGATCACTTTGCTGCGGCGTCAGTCATTTTCTCAACGTCGTACGCCTGTATGAATTCGCGGTGTTCACGGGAAATCATAAACGTAGCTGATTCAGGACAGACAGGCATGAATGAACACGTCGGACCAATCGAACGAACGAATTTTCCGTCAATGCTTCGATCAATAATCGACAGTACGATATGGACTGGAATGCGTGACTTTCGCCATGTGTTCATTAATCTTTTTCATTACTATTCGATTCTTCTACTTATTATTAAATCGTCGTTATTGTTATCCCGCGGGGAGAGGAGGCAAAAAGACAAAACTGTTGATAATTATCCCGAGACGCAGAACACGACAATCAAAAAGCTGAAAACATACATTTCGATTTCGATATGTAAGTTCCATAGGACTGTAATATTGCTTCTTCGATAAATATAAGCAATACAACTTCATGTATCCCTCAATGTATCGTCTCGGTTAATGGTCAAGTCGAGTCCATACTTAACAACAGAGTTTGTTCTCCCCGTGATTACTTTGATTGTGTACGTCTCATTTCTCTCTCTCTCTCTCTCTCTCTCTCTCTCTCTCTCTCCTCTCTCTCTCTGCACATTTTCGCCTTTTACTTTTACTTTCCTCTCCGCCTTACCTCTCTGTTGTTGTTGTTGTTGTTGTTGTTGTTTCGTGATCTTATTTGCATTTCTACAGACATTCCTTGTGCAGCGTTAACACGAATTTATCTACTAGTTTCATCAGTCTTTGCGATCTGTACGTAGCGATACAATGGTTACCATACCGAGAGTCAGGGATAAAGAATCAAAGAGCAGCACAGTTTTGCGAAGCACCACATTAAACAAGATCAAAATGGGAAACGGTCGTTCGAACTGTTCGTGAATGTTGACCGAGTGGACACGCTTGTACCGTTCTTGGAAAAAATCTGTCAATCGACTATCCGTAACCTATAATTGCCTCCTATCGTACTCTCTTATAACTATTTACACAAAATGAAAAAAAAAAAATAACTAGGACCGCGCTATCCGATAGTCCATCAACCGCAATCCCACCGTAATAATCAATCTTTATCTGTTCAAGTTGAAGAAAATGGGACTATCGACAGCTAGTTGTTTATCTGTAACTTTAAGCAGTAGAAAAACTTCGCCGATTTCGTCTTGTACTTCTAACATCTAACGGAAGTTCATCTAGATGTCGTTAGACTCGCGATGAACTTTCGTACAATGTATATGCGCGAGCGCTATTCTTCTTTAGCCGTGTCGTTTTCTTTGATTTCCTTTCTTTTTCTCTATCTCTCTCTTTGACTTCACCGCGTTTTCGTTCGTTTCTGAAACTTTCCTCTGCTGTAATATGATTTCGTCGCTAATTCTCAGACATCGAATCATGCGTTGTGTCTGTCGTCGTTGCATTTTTCGTTCTTCTCGAATACACCGGTCGGTATTGCCTTCCAGTTCAAATTGTACGTAACGAATGAGATGTCTTAGAGGCAGCGATGATTTCAGCAAGCTATTCTTATGGGATTACGTTGATACACGACACACAATGTACACATGTCAACTGTAATATCACTCGGTTCGCATTGCACCCTCGTACAAAGCGCATAATCGAATGACGAAGTAAGAGAAACCGCGGTTTACTATACGATATTTATAACACGTAAACTCAAAGTAAATAGATAGTTTACCAACTATATGAAATAATACTAAACACCGTCTCGCATTAAATGAACAAACTCTAGAACACGTAACACACTGACACCTGCACATACACACACAAGCATATATACAAATACACGTAGACGCTTACAAAGGCATAAAGCATACACGCATAAAACTTGTACGAACATAATATATTAAAGAGATACGTGCATAAAGCGCGTGAACACAAGATACAGAACACAATTTCCTTACACGGACAAGTGTAACGCGGATTCACAAGAAACAGATTTAACGACTAGATAATTAATTACAAACGATTAAATCAATTAATTGTGTAACTAATTAATACTAAATTACTAGGAGATTAAATAGGAAATTTGCATATGCAGCCCGTAGAGTGAAGGAGTGAATGGGTGTACGTACGGTGTGAATCTGTTGCATTTGGCGATCTGCGTTGTGATCGACCCCCTCACACACGGCTTTATTCAGAACTTGTTCAATTACAGCTCAACTACTTATAACGATCTCGAGAAAAGCATACGCACATACACGCAATGGCACACACGTACATGCATACATACATGTTACATACGTAAATACATGAGTACATAAAAATTACAGACGCGTATACGCGTACACATAGATTTTACTACGTTCTTCCTATTCGACACATAATATTAGTCGTCGAGAGTGTGAATTACCCTTTATTAAACGCAATACTTCGGTGGAGTTGTACGAAAAGAGAGACCGATGGATCGTGTACTGTTTTATCGACATGCTTTGCACAGAACGTCTTGCGTAATGTCGATGACGTTTCTTCGAGCAGCAGACCCACCATACACGAAGACAAGTCTGAAAACCGTTGAAAAGAAAAACCAAAAAAAAAAAAAAAGAAACGAAATTGTGACGAAGTGGAACGTCGCGTAAAAAATTCAAGGAAAGCTCGTGTCGGTATGATCGTTTTGTGTGAGTGAGAAATTATTGAGATGCAAGAAGAACGAATTTTCAGTGATTTTGTAATATTTCTTATAAGTTGTAGCTGCCATATCCAGTAAAATTAAGTACTAGGTGCGCTGAGTGATTATCTGACGACGACTATTACGATAACGATTCTAATGGTGATGGTGGTGATGATGATAATGATGATGAGATAATGTTAACGATAATGATGATCATAATGATTCTACGTGCTCCTGCGTGTGTCCGCGACTTTGGATGAGTTACGCTAAGATGTTGAAAGACGACGGGTCTAAAGAAAACAATAACAGTTCATTACAATTATGTAATTATAAATAAGAGAAAAAGACGAAGAGTATTATAACACGTTGTTAATTGAATTAATAAAACTAGCCCAAAGTGTCAAAAGTGCTTTCATTTCGTTGCCCTTTATGTTAATTTTTTAATTGTACAAGAATTCATTGTAGAACATCTTTCAAAAGTATATCAAATATTCGAGAGATTTAGGATTTCTATTTCTGTAATTGTTCACTAATTATTTCGTGCATCATTTCGAAGAAGAAACAGGAGCGTGCGGATAAAGTTTAAATAATATTTAAGTTGAAAACAAATTACTACATCGTTGGTAATTATTTGTACAGTCGTTAATTTTAATTGTACTGTAATTATTATTAGATAATTGCTTTTTGAACTAGTGAAATTAAAAGATTAAAAAATTATAGAAATTTATTTACTAATCTCTGAAACTGTTCACAATATTTATCTTATTGTACATAATGGTAGTACTGGATTGTAAACTATAGACACAATTAATTATGTATGTAATTGTAAATATCAATTTTAGGATATTCAATTCTAAATGTAAAATATCAAGAAAAATATACAATGAATATACATTAGTGGAATGTGCATCCGTTTTTTAATTAATCTTAGATTTATTATGATTTTGAAATTAAAACAGTATATCGATAATAAGAAACTGTGCTTTTCATGAACATTGAAAACCATGAGTTATTGATCATGCCTCTTTACATTTGTCCACCATGTTGTTCCTCTTCATTCTTCAGCATTAATTGCTTCCGTCCGACCCAAAGCAAAAGAAAGTCTATTTATTTAAATAAATAAGCCACAGTAAATTCAAATAGCGACATTGTTATTACTTTTAGTATAAGAGTAATTAAAGTATGAAGATAACAGTATAATTTCATAAACATTAAGATAGAATGGAACCATTATAATTAGAGTAATTAAATTAAAGTAATTCTGACCTTCGTTTATATATTATAAATTTGTCAAATTTTAATAAAAATATTGTTTCAAGAACAATATATTGTTATGTTTTAAGTAAATATATTTGCAAACTTATGATTTGAAAAAGGTACAGTAAACTTTGTTTTTTTCCAAGCATTTGAATACTCAAATAAAATATAACTTACAATAATTTATCGTTACAAATGTTTGCTAAGTGTGCATACGTTACATAATACATTGAAACAAAACATTATTATAGTGCAAATGATATAATAAGTATGTATTTAGTTCCTGATAAGAAAAATATTAAATAAACGATTAAAATTATTATACAAAATTACTATTTTAATGATTATCGCCATTTTTACAGCTCTACCTACAAATGTATGAGTACATGTACCGTTTAGTTCATAACACAAAGTACATTAATACTACTAGCGTCATAAACTTCTAAGTACCTAAATCAATCACAAATCTATTTACTTAAACCTACGCTGAACTCAAATTATATCTGACACGAATTCTATAGAAACTATATGTATTCATATTTTAATAGACTAGTAATGCGATTATCCTTATAAATGTGACAGTCGCATGGAAATATTACAATGATCACGCATAATTCAGTGCATTACATTTTATGCTTTCAATTACAGTATTAGAAGTTTAATATCACGTTCATAAATAACAGATTGAAAGATACACACCATACAGAGTATTCCGTTTATTACAAAAATCCCAAGTGTCTAAGTACTTCTTGGAAAAGAATATATTAAAGGAACATACAACATAATAAAATAGTTTTTAGTAAAGAGAAAATCTGTCGAAGATTGCAGTTTCCAATGTATCAAAGGCATCTATATTTTTAAAAAATATAGGAGTGTGTGCGTGTGTATTTATTGACACATTTATTTAGATAGACATAAAAACAAATTCAATTTCAATTTAAATTCGTCGATGCTTCCCTTTCAACGGATGTTTCCGTGCAGAATTATTTCTTCTGAGCATTACCGACGGTGGTATAAGCGAATCCATTTCAGATGTGTCTGTCTTGTTGCATTGATTCTGATCCATAGGAAACATGTATTCCAAATCGATATCGTACCTTTGCGCAGAAATGTGTAAAACGGAATGATTATTGGTGTAAGGGGAGATTTGTTTAAAAATATGAAAAATGTGGCAAAATTTTTATTTTAAAAATCATAGAAAATAATAGCAACAATAACACGAGAGAAGAGAAAAAGAAATAGACTATTTCTATATTTACAAATTAAGATGTATTGTAGAATGAATTGTTGGTCATTTGTGTTTAGGTAAAATGAGATTAAGCTGTCACGTACCTGGGTAACTTCTCACGAAGATAAGAAATAACATTAGTTCCCAAATTAGGTTCTCGGCTCATGATGAAGCTGGATAGATATCGGGGACTTTTGCTCTGTTCCGCACAGTGCATCAACAATGCCCAAGAATTGTAGTCGGAGTCTAACACGTATGTGTTGTATACACCTTCATCTGTAAAATACGGATATAGAAGTATATTACATACTTAAAAATGTTCAGTGTCGTGAAGGGTCATTTATTTTTAAAACTCCAGAAAAAAGGTTTCCTGAAGATTTATTTTTCGTAAAGATTGTAAAACCAATCAATTAGAACACACACACATTTTTCTAATAATTTTAATTTTCTAAATTATTTTCTTTCAGCGTATTTTATATGAATGAAAGATTTTTCGTATGTAAACTTCCTTAGTAAAAATGTCTCTGACAAAATATTTGTTTAATGTAGAAATGGAAGTTTCTTAAATAAAACCATTTGATCATTTCGAAAAATCTTGAAAGCTACGATGTTTAAAAAATATTTTACACTCTGCTTCTATTGTCGTACAAAAAAAAAATAATAATACATTATACTGTAACATTTGTAGTTAGATAACTGCATCATACGAGAACATTAAAAGAACGTAGACAGCACTAAAATAATTCATAACGTTATCTGTAACTTCCTGTTGTTGGTATTATCTTTTTGAAAGAGGATTCTGACGCTCCGTCGGTGTTACAGTTAGCATTTCCAGGGCATGAAATATATGGGTTTGTAAAACTTTCCTGATACAAAAAAATTTTCCTTGAAAACATTAGAATTACTAATTTATCATATTTGAATGAATATTGAAATATATTTTTAATTAAAGCCACGTGAAAATTAACATGTTACGTATATATGAATAAAAGTGATCTTTTATCGTTTAAAACAGTAAGTTATCTCATAGAGATATATTTCTGGGATAGAAGATAATACTTTCTTTCCTGAAAGTAAAACTGCCTACGAAAAGTTGATTTGAGAGGCATTTTTTTAGGGTTATCAATGTTCCATGCTGTGTAAAAACGTCATTAGACCCTTGATAAAGATAGTTGTGGATATTTAACGCTGGAATATTTCCAAATGAATACGATATAGACACAGAACTTTTTACATAAATTAAACACATTCAGTCCACGTTATTTTGTATCATCGATAAACAATTTTTAATACGATAAAACAGTAACATTTTTAATTAGATTAGATTAGAGAATTAGAATCTTCGATTTCAATTCTTACAGGGATTTAAACTCTTTGGTTTCAATTCTTCCAGCCATTTGAACTCTTTCATCTGAATTCTTACAAAAATTTAAGTTCTTCGAACAATCGCAATAGGTTTCAGAAAAATTTCACTTAAATTCTTGCAAGAATTTCAATTATTTGATCTAAATTCTTACAGGAATTTCAATTAACTGATTTAAATTCTTACAGGGATACTCGGCGTGCACCCAATGAGCGGGCAGCTCGTGCGAAGGAATCTTCCAGGTGATGTTACCAACAAGTTGTTCGTTGATGGGATCGTCGGTGAAACTGTAAGTGAAATTCATGGTAACCTCGGTGCTTTCCGGTGAGATCGACAGTTCGGCTCGCATGCATCTGTACGCGAGCGCTTCCTCCGAGCTTGCATAGTACTGTACTATGTACCACGAACCGAGAAACTGCAAGAAATACAAGTTCTTTATTTCTACGTGGCAAAACGTGTCTTCGTGGCTAATCGGCGGAGAGCCGTTCACGCCTAATACTCTTCTTCTTGTTGTTCACGGTACGGCGTTAATCGAAGTGCTAGCACTTTAATGGATCTGCTGCGCCACGAGGCAGAAATTTAGTGCTTGAGCAAAACGTTCCTTACGCCTATGAAATATTTAATAAATATGTATGAAAATTAATGTAACCTGTATAATAATATTTCTTGTAGTAATTTTAATCGAAAATGTTCTCCGGAGGAAATATTCTTCATTTTCCATGCTGAATAAATAATAATAAAACAAAGTGTGATCACACTGAAGCTGAAATAATTGTGAAATAAAGAGTGACAATTTTTTTCGACCAAGTATTGTGTCAAAATGCAAAAAGAAATATTTTTCGTAATTTCAACAATGCAACTATTCCGCTTTGGTGTTTGAATAATTTATCGGATAATTTTCGAATGAAGTTACCAATTAATCGTTTTATTATAATTGCGTTAATTAAAAATTGTATTAGCCGTTTAGAGAGATAATTATCCATGCGGTATATTCATTGTTTACGCATACTTGATGATTTTCAATTAACGATGTACAGCTCGATGCAATAATGAAGTAAATGATATTCAATGTATTCAAATTGCGTGAATGTATAAGTGAATGGCAACTACTGTAATTAGATACTGCCTTATTTCTTATGATACGAAAATTTTGTAGAAACGTCCTTTGCAAATCAAACGAAATTAACATTATTCCTTTGTTCGTCGATTTGTACGAGTACTGTGGGATGAAGGACGATTTTAAAAGTCAGAATATAATGTAGAATTGCACTCAGAACAATACTCGTTAAAAAGCGAAATATTTCTAAAAAAGATTGTTTAATAATTAAACTCCTTCAGTAATAATAACACAGTTCAAAAATAGCAAAGTTCTTAGTTTTCCCATTTACTGTAATTATTTGTACAGGTACATAAATGTATTACTATGAAAACAATTGTATAAAGGGTGTATCAGAAGAGATATACAAAAACAAGACCAATGTCTCGAAACACAAAAAAGAAATTAAAGAAACTTTTTTTTGTAACATAGAACTTATATTTAAAGTTTTGATACACCCTGTATACATGTAAATAGCGAGTAACGACGAACTAAGAAATTACACATTTATAAAATATTTGTTCGTAAGATACGAAATATTTGTGAGTTGAAAAATTTCTTTCAAGCACGAAGTATTGTAACACGTTTAAAGTAATTTTAATTTTGAAATTTTCAGTCAAAAATTCTTCAAACTCTGCACTCTTTATCATATTATGATATCTAAATTTTTCTCTTACTTAGTAACGTATTTAAAAAAAAAAAAAAAATGAGATAAATATTTTACCCTCTATTAGACGTTTACCCCGGTCCGAAGTCAAATATTTTATTTAGCGAAGCATTTTTCTTCGCAGCATAAAAAGTAACACAATTATTTTGACGGTCGCGATAGATGATGATCTATTCTACGAATGATTTATGCGAGAGTGGAAAATTCGGTATCCCAGGCTGGTATAAAAGCGGCAGAGAGGTTCATCGGTGTTTATGTGAGGTAGGTCGCTGCAATCGTTTGCCTGTGGACTGTCATTTAGTTCGGCATGCAATGCAAAACTGTCCGCCTTTCTCTCTGCATTCATCTCCTGCACGACAATCTATCTCTGTCGTGATTATCATTATTTCAGCTCCACGTCAATATTAACACGACAGAGGCAAAGGATGAATATCTGCATTTCATTCGCGTATGATATTTTCCCGCGCGCAGCACATTCAAAGAGAACCTAACCTTTCTTTCTCTCTCTTTTTCATCATTCAACTCCTTCGTAATTAATCCGAAAGCAGGGATCACTTTGCGTGATTATTTTCAATTCTCTGAAATATGTCTAATTTTTCAATTTGAACGTTTTCTCTCCTTCTTCCTGTCACGTGGCAAATATACAGGGTGGGCCAAGTGAAACAGGCATATTTCTGTGCGTAATTTACATGGTTTCAAAGAGTGAATAACATGGAAGAAACTTCTTTTTTTCGTGGAAGAAGTAGCAAAGAAAGAAAGGAAGTTTTGCATTTGATTTAAAATTTTAGAGTGCGAGGTTATTGTGCACACTTTGTCACTGTCTATAGTTTTTAAAAAGACATACATGTGGTTAGTGGAATTTTAAAATCGAAATGATTAATAACCAAACGTTGCAATTTTGTAAATGCTTCGTGACTTTTTGTTATATTTATGAAATCTCTTTTTTATTTTCTATTTATTTATTTCTTTTTGTTTAAATTCATGTTGTATAAATATAGTATAAAAGTATGTATTTGAAGGTAAAATAATTGTAATGTAATTACGTAATATAGTAATGTAATTTCTCTGGCATCTAAACCTAATATTGACGTCATACTTTAATAATTTCGTAAGTATTTCATGGTCCATAATAATATTTGCAAGATATTGTGAAACTTATGCGTGTTTACAGCTAATTTTGGTAGGAAATTACAAATGCAAATCATGCTAAAAATAACTACTGGATCACTGGTTTTTGGGTTATCAATGAAGCTAAACGTTTCGGTTCATTGCGTATCTGAAAACAGAATTCCGAGGTTAACCTCTGGTCAAGGAAACTAAATATCTTATGTATTGTTAATGGTCATCACAAAAGAACTTCAAATTTATAATAGAAAATTTTCTTCATAAATAAATGCATTCGATATAGATAAATATGAAATTGTATAGCTAAATACCATAGTACGAAAATATAATAAAATTAAACATCGATTAAAGATCTCATAAAAACAGCACTTAAGTCTTTTCTACAAAAGAAAAAAACAAGAACAAATGTTGTACACATTTTTTTTTATTGTAGTGCGTATTTCATTAATGCTAAAATGCCTTAAAATATGACATAAATAAAATTATTTATTTACGTGAATAATTTGGCGAAATTATAATAAAAGAAAATCAAAGAGATAGAAAGATTGGTAAAAATGATAATGATAAACAAAGCAATTTTACATGCGTTCGAAGTACGTTCGGAATAGCTTTCCCTTAAACACGCATATAAATTCTAAAAATAAGTTGCCTGGAATCTTTGAAAGAAGATGTGCGATATTTTACGCGTGTCCTTGCCTACTGCACACATACTATAGTATCAGTCAAAACAATTCCTCTCGTCGAACGTTGCTTCGTATAGTTTCTTTATTCTAAGTGTTGCAATCGATAGAAAAACGAACGCCACAATATCTCTACTTGATTATACTTTCTAATTATGTAAACACGACCAAGTTCCATTCGAGAAAAAAAGTTCTAAACACAATGCATCCTTCCTCGATGCAATAACTAAAATCGTTTCACATTGCCAGAGTGCAATTACAATGTCTGCTTTTACGTTTGTGCACGAATGAGAGTATTCAACAAACGCGATTCAATTGCGCACTCTGTAATTATTATTATACGTTTGCCATGTATATTGAGCGAAAATCCGTGGTGACTGTCTATTTGTGAAATCCAACTCGATGTTCAACGATTCTGTACAAGCTACATTTGGGGAAATACAGAATCTGCTTGTCAATATTAGCCCTTACTTGGTAAACGTACTTTTAGTATCTTTAAACCATAAGCGTAATTTATGTCCGATGCGTCTTTCAACGGGTAAAAGGAACGTGTCACATAATAACAATAAATATCTCATTGCACGGGAAGTATTAAAAGATTACATACTGTAATACTTTTCCAACGAAGATTCTCTTAAACTTGTGTCGTTAAACCAATTAATTCACTTTGCAAATATAATCAAAACAAAGCATATATACTCAATCAAATTTCTATTAACTAAATACGCATTAACGAACGATCAAGTCTTGAAACCTATAGTACACAGTATTAAGATTTCACCCAACAAGTTTAGTTTTCATGAAACGTCTAGAACTATTGTAAACTATACGATAATTCAAAGTGGTATGTTACATACCTCAGATATGTCAAAATTTCGTATGCCCTTTACTTTAGGACATTTGGTCGTATCCTCCCGCCTTTTCCACGTAGCAGTAGTATCGTCGATTAAACATACGAACAACAATAGCACTATTATCCACGAACAAAATCTCGAACGTCTCGTTCCGGGTTGCATTCTCTCGGTCACATTCAAGCTTCTATTCGCTTCGCACACACGCGGAACTTCTCACTACTTCGCTCGGTAAGTTCGCCTGGTCAACTAAAGGCCACCAAGTCGGCCAGAATGAAGTGTGGACGCGCTCACGACTACCACTATCTGCACAAACGAAGAGGGGGTGGTCACTATCACGTTCCTCCCTTTGCATTCTTGCTGCTCTTTCGTTTTCAATCGGCAACTTGTTCTGCGCGTCGCGCGTACAATCCTCGTAACTGGCGCCAGTTCAGGACTCCTGATTGTAGGCGTGATCGTCGTCACGACTAAAGAAGGGCATCGTCTGTTAGAGCACCTCGTCCCGCTTACTTCCCTACATCCGACTTGTATCTTCCCGGTTTTTTATAGTCCCGTACACTACGATGCCATATCGCGTTCAAGGTAAACGCGGACAGTATTAACCGAAACTATTTTTCTTTTATGTATGAGTTTAATGCCGCATCAACTGTATAAGGTTATTAGCGACAACTGTTGGGGATTGGCTATAACTTAAAGTCGGATGCTGTTATTATACAAACCAATATCGTTTAAAAATTGCGAGGTTCGATGTAGTTGGTGTTCGTTAAGGTTATCTTTTAGAAAGTGACATAAACTATTTAAGACAGTGTAGTAGAATGTGTTTTATAGCAATGGGTATATTGTAATGATCGTATATTGTATGATTTGCTTGGAATGAGATGACAATGTGTGATTCTAGAGTGGCCGATCTTAATTCTATTATGTTCTGTTCCTTTCGAGTCAATTTTGAGAAGTAAATATCTACTTTGAAAGAGCTGTCTATTGTTTCTACAATATGCAAAAGGGCAAAGCTTTTCCATTCTTCAATTCATATTTTCGTAATTATAATCTTGCAGTGTTTTTGGAGGTTATGTGGGGGAGTTGTTACAGATTGGCGCAGTAATTCAAAGGTGGTGACTTCCTAATCATTTCCTGCAATGACTATGTGAGATGAGATCCATATTACGGTACTTGTTTTTCCTCGTCATCGGAACTTTGTATTTATATGTAGTGATCGATAAACTTCGATCGACTGAATTAATAGTGAACGATACGACATACATACATACTTATGTACGTATGGTCAGCTTTTTTGTTTGACCTTAATACGTGGAAAAATTAGATCATTCGTGTAGTTATGTAAATTTATCATCAAAAGGAAATTTAACTATTCGTTTTAATATACTTTTTATTTCTTCAAATTTAACTGCATAATGAAGTTTCAGTATGATTCGTGGTTACTTATTTTCGTTCTTGAATATTATAATCCTGTAGGTGTTTCAATTGCAGGAACTTTTAATTTAAAAATTTTAATTTAATTAAATGGAAAAGAATGAATGTATTCATATTTAGGGTAATGAAAGATGATGACAATACCGAAAATGAGAATAGTGTTAACTATGGTGTGCATGAAATGTTTATAACAAGAGTGTTGACTGCTTTGATTTTTAATTATTTAATTTTTTTCCAAGGTAACAAAAATAAATTAAAAATTCAGAGAAATCAACACTTGAATTATAAATATATGTATATCGTCTTTGTATGTTTTACGTAGCGAGGTTTTGTTGTCGTTTGATAACTTTTTAATTAAATAATTTAATTAATTTGTATAAGTAGCTATTTTAAAAAATGGTTAACATTAAAATTAATCAGATATAGTAAATATCACATAAACAAATAATAATATATTTTCAATCGGTAACGTATATATTTAGCAACAATAGTACAATTAACAGTTAACTACGTTAAAGATATTATCCTTAAACATTCGTTATACGTATTAAGTGTATCGTTAATAGTGATACTTTTAATTTTCATTGTGTTGAACACGCAGCAATGACCGTATAAATTGACGTGAATTTAATTAATATGCGTCTATAAACTCGTATATCGTGTATTCTCCTTCACGATCACTATTCAGAAACAGTTGTCTGAATACAATTCAGTAACAGTTCTCTGAATAAATTCGACATACCATTTCGTCACGAAAACGTGTTTGAAATAAATTATTTACTCTTTTTCGTGATTCACAATATATAATGTAATACTATAAATATTTATCCAAACATATTTTACCCATTATTCACAATTAAAAATTTACACTTCTCTGTTTCTTAACCCAAAATGGTTTGTTTTCTAGCGTGAATAACTATGACTCACGTAACAGAGAATTGAAAAGGTATTGTTTCACGTTCAAATAATACTAAACTTCCATATATTCTTACTGAAATGACTAATTTTTCTTTCATTCGAACAGGATGACGAAGACCTCGCTGTTATTAGATATCCTGTTATAATTACTTTATAAGACGATAATGTCTAATCGTAACGAGATCA